ACACACGAGGACATTTAAAATTTTCAATCAATAGATAAACGCTTACATGCCTGTAAATGAAGAACTATATTTTGATTGCGAGCATTGATCATACGTATATGCATGTGCTGCAATACATGGATCAGTGCATGCGCGCAGATCGTACTGAAATCTCCCAAGACATACGCGCGAGCCGGGGGCTCCTTCTGAGAGCCAGGCACACCCAGTGCAATAAATGAGATGCACGGGATGCTTAATCTTTATTACAACATTGTCATCATGTGATTTAAAACCGGCGGCAGCAACAGTACTGGCGCATTGTATACAGCTGCTGTTAACCCCCCCCCCCCCGCGCGCGCATACACTATTGCGCTATAGGCGGCATGAAAGTGTATTAACTCTCATATCTCGCGAACGAATTGAGCTACATTTCTAGAAATCTAGATACATATAAACACATGTTTTAGTTCCGTGAATTTTGAGTTTATTGAATCACGAATAGTTTAATTAATTACCAAAAATATACGCACGGTATCGCTCATAGGCTAATATATACGCGCGGCTATGGCCCGTAGGATAGTGTACCAACTCTAATATCTCGCGAAGGATTTGAGTTACATTTTCTAAAATTCTAGATACTTATAAACACATGTCTTAGCTATGGTCTCTGCGAATGTTAAGTTTGTTAAAGCACGACTAGTTTAATTAATTACCAAACATATACGCACGGTATCGCTCATAGGCTAATATATACGCGCGGCTATGGCCCGTAGGATAGTGTACTAACTCTAATATCTCGCGAAGGATTTGAGTTACATTTCTAAAATTATAGATACCTATAGACACATGGCTTAGCTATAATCTCTGTAAATATTGAGTTTATTGACGTACGATTAGTCAATATATTAGCAAATATATGCGCGCGGAAGTGAATTACAGTAATTCTGTTAGTTAGTTAGTTAGTTAGTTAGTTAGTTAGTTAGTTAGTTAGTTAGTTAGTTAGTTAGTTAGTTAGTTAGTTAGTTAGTTGGATAGTTAGTTAGTTAGTTAGTTATAGTTAGTTGGTTGTTATCAATTTCACTATTATTGCGTCCGTGTACATAGACTTGTTTTTTCTTCGAAATTTTGTAATCAAACGCCAAACTCCCTCTTCATCAACACCCCTCCAACGGCCTTTAATTAGCATTATTGCAATTGGAAAGCACAATTAGCTTGCGTAATGTACGATATCGAATGGGCGTACTGCGGTATATCGCTCTTTCGGTTAGTGCAATTAAGCCGAGGAAGCACTCCCAATATTGACATAACTGATCAATAACTATTATATCCATGGTTAGTGAAGACCAACGGCTGTGTCAAAACTAAAATTCGAAAATCCACTAACACAAACCGAGCGTTCGCCGTCAGTGTTGCACTGCTGTACTGGCCGTCATCCACTTCTAATTCAGTGAATACGTCTCTAGCAAATGGCAGAGGAAAAACACCACCACGGTAATTACTAGGTAGATGAGTATGGAGGTCGCATGTGAGCAAGAGAACGCGAAAGAAAGAACCCAAAGAGGTCGCATAGGAGCAGGAGAAAGCAAAAGAAAGGAACCCAAGACCATGCACGCGTGTGGGTGAGAGAGCAACACGTTCTGCTAGCATCTATAACAAATACTACATACGCATATACGCTCTCCTGTGACACTATTTGCCATAGGAAGATTTTTCCTATGACAAATATTGGTGAGTCAACTTCGTTCCGCTTTACAGTAGAAATTCACTGCTTGCGTTCATAATAGCGCTCCTAAACTCCTATGATGCGCACAACACATACAACAATATTTGTCATAGGAAGAATCTTCCTATGACAACTACTGTCATAGGAGAGCGTATATGCGTATGTCGCATTTGTCATAGTTGCTAGCTGAACAGGCTGGAGAGAGAGAGAAAACGAGAGCAAAATATATCCAAACGGAAACCGACATGAGTGCAGGTCGAAATGAAGCAGGAGACAGGCTGAGTGAAAGCAGCCTCGCTGCGCACTCTGGAAATACTAACTAGAGCACAGCAGCCACGTAATGCGTCACTGGAGCAAGAGATGGTCTGCTTGCAATAACGTCAAAGGTCGACATTGGGCCGACGTTTAGAACTAGGATGCCTCCCCGCAACAAACAATCCTCCCGAAGCAAATGAGGGCTTGCTATCATGATGAATACCTGGTTAATGAAATCAGGTAATCCAAAACAGACCAAGATGAAAGGAAACGCACGCGCAGGCCATCCTAATGAGATTCGCGAAGCGTTCATCGGTGCGTGCTTTCACTGGGCATGTCTGCACTCTGTGCGCCTCGCCTCGTGTATACTACTTGGTAAAGTAATAGCGGGGATGTAATTATAGTTGCTGTTACATGAAGCAGCGCTATGCCTGATTAGATGTCGCTCGCGTTTCTTTCGATGCACTTGTGTTATCGGAGACGCCTTCGCGGGGAGACGAGGCACCTCCCTTTAATTACACGCTGCTTGTGACCCGGTAGCTTCGACAGACAGTTTCGTATCAGCTCATTTCCCATTTGAAATACACAGTTGCACATAGCAATCATCGCCGATAAAACACGAATAATAAATGAACCGATGGTCTGTCGATCGATGAACGTATCCCAGTGTGTACGCTCGGACTGGTTAGACGGATGTGTGCCTACTTGACACTCCAACTTGCGTAGTGCTCATCTGCTCCATAAATATTCTTTGTTTTTTGGCGATTCAGTCAAAATTGTTTGTATCTTGATCACGCGAGGGCGCGGCTTTTGTCATGCATGTGGATCATTGCCCTGGGTAACACGTAGTCGCACATATGTATGTACTATTTGAAGCATAGTGGCTTCATAAGGCTAGCGCTCGGAGTCTGGTCGATTAAGCGTCTACGCGTATCATAATTGACGAGGTATTGTCTAGTTCTGGTTCTAGTTTTCTAGTAATTAAAGACCAAGAGCGTATTACTTCGCCTTGCGTATTTATCATATGTCGCATCAACATTTTGGCGTCTGCTCAATTAGGGCGGTGTGTTGTATTATAGTAGCGCTGCGGCCGTGAGAAGCGATTAGTTATAAATTAAGCGATTAGATTAAGCGATTAGCGGGCATCCGGTTATGCACGATACGTTTGGCTCGAACGATAATATTTGGTTATAATATGATCACGCTTGCACATCGGATCTCAGGCATTAATCGCGCTGTCTCCCCTATCAATCTCTCTCTCTCTCTCTCTCTCTCTCTCTCTCTCTCTCTCTCTCTCATTTCTCTTCTCTTTCTCGTCTCATCTCTCTTTCTCTTTCTCTTTTATCTCTCATCCATCTCTTTTCTTCTCCTCTCCATCTCTCCTCTTGGCTCACTCTCTCTTTCTCTCAGCTCTCTCTCTCATCTCTCTCTCTCTCTCTCTCTCTATGCTCTTGTGCGCGTATGTTCTTGATTTTCAATCTTGTGAATTGTTCTTCTCCTATGACACTCGCTGTACTTCTCAACTTACATAAAGAGATTAGTACTGAAGAGTAGAGTAATTTGGTTCGCTCTATTCGTTCTCTCGATAACTTAATCTTCCTCGGTCCTCTTTCTCAGAGGAGGTTGCAGATAATAGATATAATATAAACGTGATCGATGAAATACTGCCGCTGCTATAGCGCGAGAGTGAGTTCGACTGATAGACTTTGCCGTCAGTGACGCTTTTATGATCCGAATGCACGCACTGCACTAACACGTGTAATATCGCAGTTATATATATGTAACCCTTGCCTCGAGGCATAACCACCTACGCGCAATTTATGCGCTAACCGAGCCCACTTGTTGCGTGAGCGACTCCAAAAACAATTACATTATGTAACCACTGTTAAGGGCCTTGTCGCGCCGATATACGTCTGTGAAGTTAATATTTCACGTTGCGCTTTCAAGAGGCTCGCTCTACAGCCATCTGTTTGAATTCGCATCTTATAAAA